TCCTGTCAGGTAGTTGTGGAGAGCGATAAGGTCCCCCCTCAGCCTCCTCTTCTCCAGACAGAACAGCCCCAGCTCCTTCAGCCGCTCCCCATCAGACTTGTTCTCCAGACCCCTCACCAGCCCCGTTGCCCTTCTCTGAACACACAAAGATCTGTTGTTCCCCATAGAAGGTAAAATTCACAGCTTCTTGCAGAAGGAATTAAGATGCATTTGTGTGGAACTTGGTCTAAGAATGAACCATAACAGCTTTTCCCTCTCTCTCCCCTCATGATGACAAATGTCATCATCAGTAAGAGGATATCTTGATCGAAAAATAGTGCAGCAAACAAGGTGCTAAGAACAGATGCTTGAGAAATAAAGCGTCAAGTTCAAGTCTTTTCAAGGACAGAGCTTTTCACAGAAAAGAACGGGCCGCCCTGCGGGAACTTGGCGCTTCCAAGACAGCGGGATGTCATCCGGCAGTAGGCTGCAGGGGCCGACAAACAGACCCGATAAACCGGCACAGGAAAGGGGCTGGGCTGCGGTGCCCCAGCGAGCGGCCCTCAGAACGGAGTACGGTCTGATGCAAGAGGGGAATCAAAAAAAAGGAAGAAAAGGAACAAAAGAGCACGCCAAAACAACCAGCACCACATCGCAGCAGCGCCGGGGCGAAGCTAGCCCACTTTGCCAAGCACCTTGTACAGCTCTGCATGCCGAGAAAAGCATTCCTAGCCGACAGAGCAGAAACGGTCTGGACACGGAACCAGCACTCACGCAAACAGATGCTGTAATTCAGTAGTTGAAGCTGCCAAGCTCCAGAGAAATTCTATTTGGATTGGAAAGTGCCCGGATTTGTCTTAATACAGCAGAGCTCCCTGTCCCCAGTTTCCCACTACATCGTTTCCCTTTTCTCACACGCTTAAACGCCCAGAACATGGCCCGCTCGTAGTCAGTCGGCTTCAAAAGTCATTTCCAGAGTGGGACATTCTCCCATCTCACTCACTGAACGAAACAAACCCCCTCAGCCAGAAGTACAAAGACCTCTGTACCAATTTCTTTCTAACATTCACAACATTTTGTCCTCCCAGGCGCTCCTGGCTGCGTGGAAGCTCCATCACTTGTGCTACCACTGGTGCGATCACGTTTTTAAAGCCACGGTGGAATCTTGCTCTTGGCCTTTGCTTGTAAAAGCAGTCGCAGTCATGAGCGTCCAGAGAAGTATAACTTCACCAAAGTCAAGGCTGAAGACTCGGTGGACTCCGTTTTGTTTTGTTTTGGTGAAGACTTTAGAATACCTTACAGCCTAGCGTTAAACGTTTTACAGCTTTATTTTTTTAATTGTAGAAAAGCACATAAATGAGAGGGTAACGGGCAGATTTCAGCGTGACACCACGTGGCACGGATACAATAATTCTTCAACAGGTGCCTCATCTCCACTCGCTGACTGGATACACCCTCCTTCCCCTTGGAAGTCCAGCTGTAGGTAGCCAGGTTTCCACAAAGACTGTACCGAAAGAGGAACATCTCGGGCTCGGTCAGGTACAGGCCAGGCAGCTGTGGTTTCTCTGCTGCTCCTCAAGACCTCCTCAAAGCCAAAGTGCCAACCGTTCTCTTGGGGAAGCGTCCCTGCCCCGGCCGACCATGCCAAGCAGGCGGTGCCACGCGCTCTCAGCCTCCCTCGCGCTGCTCTGCAGAAGACTCCGTTGTGTAGATCAACTCCACCCGGTCTCACTTGTAACCAACGCCCATGACGCTGTAGTAAAATATCAGCAATCACCAGATATTTACCCCACACACCGGGACAGAGCTCAAAGGAATGCCTTAGATGGCTTCTAAAACCCCAAGGACGAGCGTACTGTCCTTCCAACCTTGCAAAGCCTCAGGCAACGGTTGAAGATGGCCGTGTCTTCCTTCCATGGGGCTCAGAGCAAGCGCCTCTCCCCGCTAACGGTCTGGCATCACTTCAAGTTTCAGAGCCACCCCTACCAACGTATCTTCCAGCCACCCTGGCGTATCGTCCTTGAAGAAACTCAGGACCAGTAGAAAGCCCACAGAGAAATGATCTGCTAGGAAGAATGCGATGGATGAAATTTGTACAACTTCGATGGAGAAACACAAAGTCGCCATTTCACCCCAAGAAAATGGAAGGTTCTGAACCTGAAGTTCATCGGTTCTTACCCAGGGCACCATGTTGTTACAACAAATGACATTTGGAAAGAGTAATTTAAGGTAAAGAGACTACAGGTGAATATTAATCCTGAATTAAGAATTTCAGTGAGGTCTCTGGCTGCAATTTAGTGAAACAGGGAAGTGGTCCTTGCCAGAAAGATTTAAAAAATACTCGTCAGTTCTGGGCAGGGACTTCT